ACATAACAGACTTTAAGCAAAGTTTGATTTAGAATGTAAAGAAGCCAGAAATAAAATGCTATGTGCACATATTTGCATGTCACACACATGCGAATATGTACTTTACTTTTTTTGGTTATAACTAAGCAGGATAAATTAATTAAGCCAGAAATTATTCCGCCTACTCCTCCACTTGGGCCTTAGGAAGAAATAAACCAGTGAGAAGGTCTGATGTTCCATTTCTGAATTAACAGTTTGGGATGAGAAGATCCTATTTAAGTCAGTAATGGAAGGCAAGGCAGGTGAGCCCATCTGAGAGCCAGAACTGCTCAGGTTTGTGTCTTGCTTGTTTGGAAGACTCAAAATTGGGGATGCCTCTCCTCTTTGAGTAATTCTACTCTTTGATTCTTTTTATCACCAGGAAACAAATCATAGCATACCAAGTGACAGAAGCTAGACAATGGGCTCCTTTTTCTTTTTTCTCTCAAATACAATGTCAGTACAAATACAAAACACCATCTGAGAGTGAGACTTTCGAACAGTCTAGATAGCACCAGGGTCGAGAGCTGGTGAAGTTCACTCCTTAGCAGGCGCCAACCAAAGATTTTGCTGATAAGTTCAGCTAAGCCTCTGAAAGCATAATTATTCCAAGAAATCCTTTGACCCATTTGTTATTTCTCTCAACACCAAAACTAAAAGTTTGTGGTGTCAACCAATCACAATCTTCAACTTCTTTCAGGCACGTGTGTACTCACACACACACACGCACATTTCAAAGGAATGAAAGCAAGCATAGTTTTCAATGTGAGTTAGCCCTTTCAAGCATAGTGTTCAACGTGAATTAGCCCTTTCAAGAGACACCACATTAATCTTCTTCCTCACAGCACAGACAAAACATTTCCTGAAAGGAACACAGAAACCCTAGTGTGTTTTGCTTAAGAACAATAGTTACAGTTCTGTTAAAAGTTCCCAGGCTGTTAAAAAGATATTTCATGGTTATGCTGGGGGAACATAGATTTACACAGAGAATTGTTCCAAGAGTCTTCCATAACAGCAGCTCAAACCTCTCTTCAAACAGCAGAACTCAGCTTCTGGCTGCATATCCCTTCTACCTGTGGCCGCTTCCATTCTGCAGTGAAACATCAGCCAGTGACAGATCCAACCTTTAGACCAGAATGCAGCATGGACAGCTTGAAATTCTCCTTTCTTTCACTTTCTTTATGCCCTATACTGACATTAAATAGATATCTTTTTTTATTACTAAATATCTGAGTACTCAGTATAACTGGGGAGATATGGGGTATGTTATTTTTCCCTATTAGTTCCTCTAGCCAACTCAAGAAGGACTAAATGTTAAACTCTATTAAAAAGTGAGTAAGAAGTGAGCAAAGAACTGAAGGCAGAGCTGGGGGCAAAATCAAAAGAAGACTCATTAGCATAAATCAAATTGACGTTGAGGTATCTGAAAGACTATAAAGGCTGAAAGTGCCCTTTGGATGGTATTATCTAGCCCCTCATTTTACAGAGGACTAGAAACGTAACTCATCCAAGATCACACAGAACATTAATAGTGGGAGGAGAAACCAGATCAGTCTCTTTCGTTCTTAAACCAATGTTCAAGAGACCTTTTCCTGCTACTTGTTTTCTGATGAAGGGAAGGCAGTAGCCTAATCCTGTCACTAGTCCATCTTCGAAGAACAGCTCCTTCACTTTAGGAATGCTGGGGGCATTTAGTTGCATCCCTGGACTTTTTAAATTGCAAGTGTCGAAAATCCAGGTCCAACAAGCTTACGTAGAAGGGAAATTAATCCCTTCTTGCAACCTGGAACCAAACCTCAGGGCAAGTAGACAAGGGTAAGGTTTCACTTTGGTGCAGCCTGGACAAAACCCCTACCTGCTGTGAGGTGTGCATTTGTGGATGTCTTTCTCTCTAATATTTGCTTCTCTCATCACATTGGTTCATTCTCTCAAACTGGCTTTCTCCTCAGGCCTGAAACCATGGCCAAGTGCTTTACCATAAGAGAAAAAGGGACTCTTTCCTTTTTTCTCATTTAAAAATTATCTGGAAAGGACTACAGGGCCTTTCCGTTGCACACACACTCCTGCCCTCAGAAGCACAGAGCAACAGGATTGGCAGCACCCATTGAACCACAATATTGAAGTTCGGTGGGACTAGTGCAACTCTAAAAGGAGATGATGCTCTTGGCAGAAGAAAGGCAGAGGTCTGGGGAGGCAAACACTAACATATTCCCCTTGCCTATCCCCTCCTTCACATAGCTCAGCCAGGTGACCTCACCTCAACTTTTGTCACTGATCAGAATCCTGAGATGCATTGCTGATGTATACTGTCCCCCAGGCATTCCAGTTCATCACCCATGCAGGTAGACTGGTTAGAATGAGCTACGAACCCAGTGGAAATCCAAGGTTCAACTGAAAATCAATGATTAACATTTATCCTAAAATAAAGTGCTAGATGATATTACAAAGTGAGATGTTTTTATTTTTAAATCACTAAATCCTTATTGTTGCAAATTGCACACAACTTTAAATGGCTGAAATCGGAAGACGAGACATCATTGGGAAATATTTATTATAGATAAAGACCACTTTATCTGTCCTAAAGCTTCAGCTAAAAATATCCGTCTTTCTTGAACTTCCTGTCCTGTCATCTCAGATTGAACTTCTGATTTACTAGCTTTTTTCTTCTGAGCTTGGAAACTCAGAAAGAAAAAATATTTCCCCCTTTCTTTTTGACTGTTTAAAAAAAAAAAACTACAGAATTGGTATTTCTAGAAAAACCTCAATGACTTCAGTTCTGTTTTGAATTTTTTTTTTTTTGTCACAGATATATTTCAGCCGCAGCATTCCAGAGCTTTCCAATGTCCCACTAGTTTCCAGTTATATGAAGGCCAGCAGTAGCAGACATTTAGTGCTCCTTCCTGCATCTGAATAGAGGCTCAGCTGACCTAAAGGCTCTGCCTGTTGGCTACAATTTATTGCTTTAAGAATTATCCCCTTACCCAAGGGGTGTTCATCAAAAATCTTCCCCAGGTGTTTGAAAAATCGTGCTAAAATACACATAAATTTACCATCTTAACCATTTTAAAGTATACAGTTCAGCAAAGTACATTCACATTTTTGGGTAACCAATCTCCAGAACTCTTTTCATCTTGTAAAACTGAAACTGTATCCATTAAAAAGCAGCTCTCCACTCCCCGTCCCCCTCCTCCTAGCCCCTTGGCAACCACCAATCTACTTTCTGTCTCTAAGACTACTCTCAGTGCTTCACAGAAAGTGCAATCATACAGTATTTGTCTTTTTGTGGCTGGCTATTTCACTTAGCATAATGTCCTCATGAAGGTTGTAGCATATGTCAGAACTTCCTTCTTTTTAAAGGCTGAATAGTATTCCATTGTGTGCATATACCACATTTTGTTTATCCATTCATTGGTCAATAGACACTTGGATTGCTTCCACGTTTTAGCTATTGTGAGTAATGCTACTATGAACATGGGAGTATAAATAACTTTTTGAGACTTTGCTTTCAGTTCTTTTGGGTATATACTCAGAAATGGAATTGATGGATCAGATGGTACTTCTAGTTTTAATTTTTTGAGGAACTGCCACACTATTTTCCATAGTGCCTGCACCATTTTACATTCCCACCAACGGTGCACAAGCATTCCTATTTCTGCATATCACTGCCAATGCTTATTATTTTCTATTTGCTTCTTTGTTGCTGTTTTATAGTAGCCATCCTAGTGAGTATGAGGTGGTTTCCCCAGGATTTTTAACTGGAACTGAGGAAGTCAGTTTTTTCGATGACAGAAACTGTGGAGGTGGGACTCTAGAGTTAATTGCTGTGTTTTTTGACACGTGAAAGAAGACTGTCAGTGTTGACTTTTTAGGGCACTCAGTAATCCTACCCTTCTCCCCTCCAACTGAAACTTATTCACAGAAGCCCAATAGATCTCAGTAGGGATCAAAATAGCATCAGTAGTTTTCAAGATGGATTGGAGACAATGACTAGAAGCCAGGTCCAATTTCATTTGGTGACAGACATGGAATAGGAAGCCAGGCTTCCCATTCCATGTCTGTCACCAAATGAAATTTACTCACCAGGCAATGGCGGGCCTGCTGTGCCCCACCCTGCAACAGAGTCAGAGAAAGCTCTGGTGAATTTACTATAGAAAAAGGACAAGACTAGAAGGATCGCATGCTGCCTAGGAACAGCCGGGATCCAAAAGGGAACCAGAGGGAGGAGGTCATGCTTGCATAATGACCACTTGCCAACCTCTCCAGCCAGAATAAGCCACTTTATCTTGGGAGATAGAAGGAAGTCTGAAAAGAAGAACAAAAGCTTAGTCCTCAGAAGCTCTGAGAAGGCAGACACTCATCTATATGGTCTTAGGCTGATACATAAAGGCCAGGGAAAATGTTTGTCTCCTTGCTTCCCCAATATTTCCAACATTTGGGTTTCTTAACGCTTAGGGCTCAGCACTGCATAAAAGCAGCTGTTCTTCCTGGGAAGAGGTGCTTAGTACATGTGAGCAGTGCTGCTCCCTGCCGTCATCAGGAATCCTTTGTGAATTCTCCTGCAGTTGGAATGGGACCCTAAAGGCTCTGAATAGAACACAGCTTAAATTTACTTGAGGTTTTTACCAATGACCTAGCTTGAAAATTCACTTCCTAATCTTTTTTCCATTTGCCATTTTCCCAGGTAGAACAGTCAACAGAGATCACTGGAGATTATGCAATGAACTCAAATGAAGGCATAAAACTACTCCAAATAATAAATGCCAGCAGTATTAAAATGCCCTGATTTAAACTACGTGAAATGCTTCATGTTATTAAATTCTTAGTAGAGAATTAAAGTCTAAAAAAATAAATAGCCTTTCTTTTGAAGGTTGAGCTCTAAAGAAATTAAAAATTCTCAATTATTTTTGCCCCAATTTTTTTTCGGTTCAGGGGTTGTCAGAGGGGTCTCATTCACCAATTGAGAGTCTGGACTCTTTTTGCAGCTGCTTCCACTGGAAAACAGTCTTGGCTTCAGGCTCTCCAGGATGCCAATCTTTGGACGGTTGTCTGGAGTCCATGACTTCTGAACTTAAACTAAATGGGGAGAAAGCCATTCTCATGGGATCAGTCCCGCTGCTTAGGCCCTTCCCTTCCCTGGCAGAAGTCCAAGGCTGGCTCTGGCTGTGTGCAGCAGTGGTTGTACTCAGAAGCTGCTTCTCAAAACCATTAAGAGGAAACCCACCTTGAAGAGGCATCTCTGCCTACTTGGAGGTAAGACTCCCAATACTAGCAAGCCCCTTGCCTTTTCCACGTGGGACTCTGAAAGCCCCTGAAGAATTGAAGCTGTTTCTATTTTCTCTTAGGTTCCTTTTGAAGGAAGACTGGTTGTCATAAAGTCACTGGCAAGGCCTGTGACATGAAGAGTGGCCTGAAGGACCGAAACAGCAATGTAAGCTACTACATACATGGAAATCCAACAACCTTGAAGGCCAGTGCTTTCTAGCCCAAGACTCATGGTACTTGACTCTCCTTCAAGGGAGGTGGGAGAGATGGAGAAATAGTCAGATGGAGAAGCATCTTTTTTTATTGTAGGGAAGAATTATGGGTTTCAAGTTGATCCAACATGAAAAAACCCTAAATGCTTATAATCTCTCTGTAAATTGTGGAGAATATTTAACTCAAGTTAGGGGAAAGTTCAATCCTGGTCCTCTTTATAAAGAAATTCTTGAAAAGCCTGGCAAAATCATGGACAACTGAGGGTCTTAGGCCTGAAGCTTTATTTCAACACAGAGTTAAAGGTCTGAATGTTAACCCCCAATAAAAGATTCAGGGAAAATCTACTCCTATCAATGAGGAAAACAGTAAGCTCTACCCTGTCAATTGTGTTGAAAATATAAGCCTTAAAGACTATGGACTTTGCTCTAAGATTCGTGATTTCTGACAAAAGTTATTTAATTTAAAAAATTCTAACTAATTTTTTTAAAACAAAAATGAATGGAAAACCCTACCAAAAGTTTTTGATTCATTAGACAATTTAAACTTATAGTTATTGTATTAACTAAATTGGAGAAGAGAGAAAATGTAGAAAACGATATAAGTCTAAGTGTCCATAAAGAACATGAAACTAAGAAAATCATGTTTCATAGCTTCATATTTGCTGTTCTAGCCACTTATCGCAAAAAGAGCCAGCAGTTCACTTGACTGTAACCATAGCTTGTATGACTATTACTTGATCTAAAGAGAACAACTTGGACCTCTTACAGGTTTTCAGATCTTGGAATAATGTATGAAGTGTCTCTTATCTGTTATATGAGTTATTCAATTATTAGGAAAGATTTGGGTGAAGTTTGACTTGGGTATCAAGAAATTAGAGCTGACTATTGAGCAAACTGATTTTAGTTTTTTTTTTAATTGAAATATATTTGGTATATAACTGTGCAAATTTAAGGTGCACATGTTGATTGGATACATTTATATATTGCAATATAATTGCATTGACGTTATAATTAGCATCTCTATCACATCACATAATTATTTCTTTTTAGTGGCTGAAATAATTAAGATCTAGTCTCTCAGCAAGCTTGATGATTAACATACAATATTGTCTATATTCACTACATCGTGCATTAGATCTGTACGACTTACTTCTTGTTAAGCATCTTTTCTTATCCTTCGACCTGATTTTAGTGTTTTCAAACCCTACTCAAATTTTATCATTTAAGATACTAAGCTGGGATTATCAAATTTTGAGATCTTATGAAGCTTTGTTTTTAGTTTTTCATTTTTTTTTTTCTTTAAGAGATAAATCTTTCCTCCATTTCAAGGACTTTGATGACTATGTAAGACATTAAATAAACCAATTAATCCTCACTAGTCTCTCAGGAACAGTTAATAATTATTTAATCTATAGGAGGTATCCTTATCTACTTCTAAACTACTTGGTTGTTTCTTGTGTTTTTAATTCACAGTGGGTAAAATGCACAAACTGTGCTAGGAGAACATGAGCATTAGGTCGAGGCCTTTCAACCCCTATAGTACATCGTATGCCTTGTGAGCAGCCAGCCATCCATGCCAGATGATTGCCTTGTCACACAGCCTTAAGTTACAGGACATTCTTGTTTCTTTTTTTTAACTCTGATCAAATTATATTTTAGAATTCTCCTGTAGATATGTCAATTTGAAAACTCAGGCTTTCAGTGTAATAAAAGAGTCTTTAAAGGGGACTCATAATTTAGACTATTGAGTGTTAAAGAGCTCAAGAAAGCTGGGCTTTCGAGGTAATGCACAAAGGGAGAACAACTGTCAGACATAAAATAACAAAGCAAATGGGAGAAAGACTTGCATTCTATGAGCACAGTTTTATCAGAGATAGACTGAGCAAATGCTGGAAGCACTCTAGCCAGTGTTTTCAAACTCCAGGACATGAGCCATTAGTGGGTTGTGAAACTTAATTAGTGGGTTGCAAAACTTACTTAGTGGGTTGCAAACAGAATTTTTTCCCAAAGAATGAAATAGAACAAAACACATAGGTGAATCACTAGAAGAAAAATAAGAATGATTCGATGAAATTTTTTATTTATTATGTGTACACACAAGGTAGGTGTGGACCAGGATGATTACCTTTTACTTTCCTCAAAATATAATTTTTACTGTGGGTTGTGGTTAAAAATAAAAAGTTTAAATACGCTATGTAGAAATACCTTAGGGGTACAAAGCTCTGAGAGGAGGTTACAGAGTAAAGTTCATTTTCATTCACATAGATATTAGTACAGACACATTTTGAAAAATAGATGGGCACAGCTATATAGGATAAAAGGTTAGATATTTGCTTTTTCTGTAATAAAGAATGTTTTTGTCATCCATAAAAACATGCTTATTTAAAAAAATCAAACAACCTAGAAGTAAATGGAATAAAATATGAAAAGCCCCCTCTCCTACTTCCTCTCCACTTCCTACTGCCTTTGGCAGACAAAACTGTCAACAGCCTAATAAGTGTTTTTTTACAGGCTATTTTCTAGGTGCACACACGGACACATGTATGCTACATATATGTAAATAGATTTTTAACCATATAAATGTAAACAGGAGTGTGCGATAAGTAGTATTGTACAACTTGTTTTTCATATCAGTATATCTTACAAATATTTTCATGTCCACACTATAGAGTTATTTTGTCTGCTCGCATGGTAGGACCTGGTATGTATTAATTCAACAATTTCTGCATTCATATACAATTATGTTTTCTGATTTTTATTATTTCAAAAAAATGCCTCAATACACATTCTTATCTCTGACTCTTAGGATACTTGTGAGAATATTTCTTTGGCCTAGATGCCTAGAATCAGAGTTGTTAAATCAGAGGCTAAACACATTTTAAATATTGATATATACTGCCAAATTGTAGACCCAAAAAGCTGTACCTACTTATATTTCCTTCACCAACAGTGCTCATTTCCTCACATTATCTCCATCCAGAAGAAGCAATTACCAGTTCTTTAATATCTGCCGTTTCAATGGATTGACAAATAGTATCTCATTTTAATTTTCCTAATTGCTTATGAAGTAAATATATTTGTTTGTTTATATTCTTTTTATAAAAATATTTTTATATCCTTTGTTCATCTTTTATTTGGTTTATAGGTGAATTTTATATTAAGAATCTCTAACCTTCTGTTATATTTCGCATATTTTCCCAACTTTTGTCTCTTATTTATATTTAATTTGTGTAAAGAAGTTTTACACTTTTTAATGTAGTCGAACCTATCAGTCTTTTTTTTTCTTCATATATATTAGGTTTTGTGTCTTGTTTAGGAAAGCCTTGCTCACTCCAAATTTGTTAAAATTCCTTTTCCAATATTTTCTTTAATTCTTTTTATATTTCCATGTTTAATTTATCTGGATTTTATTTCTTGTCTATGATATGAAAGAAAAAAGTGTTTTTGGAGTAGTCAATAATCTCGACATCATTTACTGAGTAGTTCAACTCTTCCCTACTAATTTGTAACACCATTTTTCAAATATTAAATTCCCACACATATATATTGCTCTGTTCCTGGATTCTCTGTTCTCTATCTTTAACCTATTGATTATTCCTGTGCCAATACCACACTATTTCACTTACCCTGGCTCCATGGATTGCTTTGATTATCTATTCAAAATTTATTTTGTGCTTTATGTCTTCCAAATGAACTGTATAATCAGGTTGTCATAGCCATTTAAAAAACCTTGCTATGATTGTATGAAATTGCCTTGAAGTTATCATTTGGTAGAACTGACATTATGTTGAGTTGTCTTACAGAAAAATGTGGCATGCTTCTCTGTATTTCAGGTCTCCTTTCATACTCTTCAGTATAGATATTTTTTTATTTATATAGGCATTACATTTCTTGTTAACCTTATTTCCAGATGAACAGGATCTCTTCCCTCATGTTTGCTAATTGGTTATTGCTGATATATACAAAAGCTTCCTTGAAGGTTTGTCTAATAATATTTGCTTTTTAAAGATGTTCTTGTACTACATTTTCAATTTCTCCGAAGATGTTTGGTCTGTTTATACTTTTTACCTCTTGTCATTTTTTAGAATCTATTTTTTGCAGTCTTCGTACTTCGTTTAGTTTTCAAATTTTTTGGAATGAAGGTATACTATCATATCGGGAGTAAATTATAAATAATACCTCCATGTAACTTTCTCTATTTATAGGTGTCTTTCTAAAAATTATCCTTAATGCTGGTAGTATATTTTTGTTATATACTTCTTGCTATTTTTATCATATTTTCTAAAGGTTTGCCTTTTATTTTTGAAAACATTTGTCTTATTGATCAAATTTGCTATTTTATTTCTGCTTTTAACTTTTTAAATCCCTCACTTTTACTTTCTTTCAGTTTATCTTTTTTCTAGCTTCTAATTTATTTCACCTATTTTCAGTTTTCTTTCTGAAAAATAAATCAAAATCTATAAAATTTCCTCTAACACCTGACTTAGCAGAATCCCCTAGGTTTTGAGAATTTTTATTAATTCTAAATAGTCTGTAATTTGATTTCCCCTATGAGTTATTTAAAAGATAATTTAAAATTTTCCATTTTATTAGATATTTTACATTATGCAGAAAACATGATCTGTATAATCTTTTTATTTTTATTTCTCTAATATGAATCATTTTTAGAAATGTTCTATAGGTTTTCCAAAAGAATTTATATTCCTGATAGATACAAAATATTTATTAGATGATATCTTCCCTATCTTGACATTTGGTAGAAAGGGGAGGGGCCTGAGTTTTTTGTTTCAAAATTATTGTAGAGTAAAAATGACTTTTTTTTTTGCAGGAGGCTGTACAGTTCCATGAATTTTAACATATGTATGGATTCATGTTACCATAACCACAATCAGAAAATAGAATAGTTCATCACTGAAAAAAAAACTCCCTTGCATAGCCTTTTTGTAATCAAATCCTCCCATGACCCAAACGCCTGGCAACTAC